CCTTCCTCCTTCCTTCCTTCCTTCCTTCCTTCCTTCCTTCCTTCCTTCCTTCCTTCCTTTCTTTCTTTCTTTCTTTCTTTCTTTCTTTCTTTCTTTCTTTCTTTCTTTCTTTCTTTCTTTCTTTCTTTCCAAAACAAAGCTATAATGGTGGGCTACCCAATTAGAAGTTTTATGTATGACACAAAGATGTAACATTGACACAACAACTGAAAAATAAGAGGGTGCTCAAAATATAGCATCACCATTCTTTAAAGATCCTATAAAGTATAAGATTCCCTTATTTGTTTCACTTTCTTTGTGAATGACAGCAACTGCTGTTGCTGAAGAAACAAGTTATTGTTTAATTTAAAAGGCAGCATGCTCAATATGCATTAGCAATGCTCTCTCATATGGTTCTGCCGGTCCTTTGGCATGCATTTTCAAACTAATAAAATATGAAATTTGGGAATGAGGCCCAGGCCAAATGTTAAACTCTGAGCATCGTCTCTCATTTCACTGTTGAAATCAAATGTTCTCCATAATTGCTTGCATACAACTTTAAATTATGTTATTGTTGTTGCTAATCTGACTTTTTATTGCATTGTCATATATTGTATTGTGTTTTATTGTACGGTATCAATAATTTTTCTTATCAGACCTCAAATACTATACCTGAACATTCTTTTGGAGGCTTCTGATGTGAATATCACGCCCTTCCACCACCAAATTAGCATTGGATATATTTCCTCCAGCCACTACTGTGTACTTCCCTGAATCAGACATCTTTGTGGATGTAATCAGAAGACGATGAACAAATCTTTCCCGCTGAAGTTTTACTCTAAACAAAATTCACGGAGAAAGTTTAGAAAGATGTTTTTAAAATATTTTAGAAAAGTTGGTGTGATTTCATAATCTTCTAAAGTTCATAGTCAAAAGGAGCCAAGAAATGGCAAACAATTGTTGTTAGAGCTCTACATTACAGGACTATACATGCATCTAACCATGATTATAGAGACCACAATAGCAGATAATACAAGTAATTATCTATAACAAGTAAATATATTAATATCTTAATTCCTTAATGCAGGGTTAACAAGTTTCACATCAGAGGCCACTCTTGAATGACTTTTTTTCAGACACTCCCACCCCAGAACTTCCCAAGATAACATTGCCACAAATTTCAGCAGGAAACAAGCAAAGGAAAGCTAGTTTGTAGGACTCAAGTAGGTTTAACACAAAGTCTTTTTAAAAATCTGGATGTAGAAAAAAAATGATCCTAAAATTTTCCTTCAATCCGCTCTGGTGATGTGCTGATCCTAAAGCTCATGAAAGAAGGAACAGGTAGAGCAATCAAGAACTATCTCTGATTTTTTGTCTGAGAGCTGACATGTTACAAAGATGACAATGAGCCTAAGAGTTAGGTCAATTGGTCAAGCAACATTTCAACTCTGTATCCATGACCCAGGCAGCTTCTGCATGCTTTTCATCAGTACTCCACAAGTTCTGTGTCAACATAATAAAGCAGATGCAACTCAATTACCTGTCTCCAAGCTGAAGCTCCTGCCCATCTTTCATCCACTGAACAGAAATGTCAGGTTCTGAGATTTCACATTCAAAAACAGCTCTTTTCTTCTCCACCACTTTAATATCTTTGATGTGTTTTCTAAATTCAATATGGCGGGCTAGAAAAAGTTAATGCAGGTTGTTATTAACAGATCATATGGGTCAAAAAGATTAATATTTATGAACTATATCTCATGTCATATGAGCCTTTTCTCTTTCTCCCCACTTCAACTACCTATAGGACCCACCCATCTGTTCTGGAAAGTCTCTAATTCTTCAGAACAAATGGAAAGAATCATAGAAGTTGCATGTACAAGTGGAATCTGTTCTACTGGTGGATGGAGGCAATTAAATATCTTCTTATTTATAAAGTTATTATAATTTTAGAATTTTTAAAACTCTTTTTGTTCCACACTAGAATCCTGTCCTGTTTATTTTACTTCTTCCTTGTTTTGCTACATTATTAACCACAGTAACTTACAACAACTACCAGGGGGGAGGGGGGAAGACTGTTAATATTACATACAATTTTAAAAGCAGATAAAAATAATTTCAATGTAATCCAAATAGATTTTTAAATTATTATGTATATAGCTGTCTCCAGTATCACTACTGATTGACTGCCAGTAAACATGAAGTACTTTGTAATTAGCGTTGTGCATTTTGTCCACATTTGGACATTCATGTCTTAGCTTAATTAGCTAAGAGATGAACAAGCCTTTTTGCCTGCACACAAGCTGTTCTGCAATGTTGAACAAACCAGGACGTCTCTCATTAACCAGTGTTTTTTGTTTCAGATTGTGATGCTTGGGTGGTGGAACACAGGGTGTCCGCTCCCAAGTATATTCTATAGGGAGGACAACATTGAGGAAAGAGGGATTTGGAAGTGGGTGGAAGGATACATTTTGGGGAGGTTCAGAGACCAAGCCTAGGAAAGCCTTCAGCAGAGATATAAGATTAGGAATATATTTAGTGCCACAGAATGCAAGTATTGATAGATTACGGACACACTGCAATATTAAGTGAACCTGCTATTTTAAGGTATGTAATAAAAGTTAATTTGTTTCTTTGATTAAATGTTAACAAAGTGACTGAGAGTCCTATATTTCACCCACATTCTGCCTTGTTACCTCAGCAACATAAAAAAATTAAAAGAAAAAATAATTTATATCAAGTTTTAGTGGTGGTACAAAGACAGATAGACCCTGTGGAGATCTCCCACAGTTAATGTGATTTTGCTTTAATTTTGAAGAACAAAAAGATTTTTAAAAGGCCACCCACAACTGAAGCAAAATTATGGTTTCCCACCTATGGAATAAGCCAGAATATTAGAATCTGGCTGAATCTGGAAACCATGATTTCATGATTTATACAAACTATGGTGAATTTGATGCTGCCTGGTTTAGTTACAGCTGCCTGTGTTAGAGACAAGTTTAACCATAGCTAATATATAGTGGTTCATTATTAACAAATGTTAGATCAGCTATTGAGACAAATCTATTATTACAGTGTCTGAAAGCAAATCTGTACTGAAATCAGTGTGTGGTTGCTGATGCATGTGTATGCCTGCCTTAATATGAATAAATGCAGCATGAGTTCTGAATGGGTTGCTTCCTCCTTGAAGACGTTTCTGTAAGCAAGCCATGAATTATAAAGTGTACAAAAAGAGCAAATACCTTCCACGTATAAAGTTGCTGCTGAAGCTGCTTTGCCAGCAACAAACGTATATTCAGCAGCATCTCCAAAATGGACATTCCTTATTGAGAGTGAATGCGTAAGCTTCCTCGTCCTGATCTGGCATCGGTCCGTGGACTTTATTTCCACCCCATTCTTCAACCATTTATATGTAATGCCTTCATAATTGACAGTCACCTCAAAAGTGATTGTATCTTTCTCTTCTGCATTGATGTCTTTCAGCATAGATGTAATCAGGACAGCTGTTGAAAAAAATAATCAAAGACTGGTTCAGTGTTCTTGACCTAGACAACTGATTAGGATTAGTGGCTAATAAAAATAGGCATTTAGGGTTGCAGCAACCCATAAAAACCTTTATTTATTTGTTTGCTGCGTTTCATTTTTCAACTCTGACAAGACTGGAATGGCCAGTAAGAAAAGTAGGGACTCCCCACAGTTCTGCTAAGCACTTGCAACCCTCAGACCAAAGGCAGCCCGTTCCTGCTCTAAACATCCATCTTCTGTTCACTCTTGCTTTGTTCAAGATGCTCTGCTGGCCTGATCATCTTTCCTTCTACAAAATATCCTCTTTCCTTTTCAGTTTCACACTTACGTTTGACAGTTAAGGTTGCGCTAACTTTGTCATTCCCACAGATGAAGGTATATTCCGCAGAATCCTCACTGCTGGTATTCAAGATGTTGAGCTGGTGGAGCTTCCCCTGAACAACTATTTTAAACTTCTCACTCATTTCAATTTCCACTCCGTTTTTCAGCCACACAGCAGGTACATTGAAATGAGACACCTCACACTCAAAAGAGGCCGTTTTAGTCTCTGGAACCTCAATATTTTTCATGGTCTTTGTAATGTGTACCGCTGTAGAAGGTAATTTTAAAAAGTAAAATGAGATAGCGTTCCTCCAGTGTGACATTTCCTAATGGCACTTAGCATCTATTTTAGACAGAAGTTTTAAACACTTACTTTCCACAAAAAGCTTAGCTTTGCACTCCAGTTGTCCCACAACTGCTGTGTATTCTCCAGCATCAGCAGGAGATATATTCTGCAATGTCAGCTTATGAACTTTCCTTTGAGAACTCAGTCTGTATTTGTCATTTGGCTTGAGCTCGATGTTTTTGTAGAACCATTTCACAGGGACCGCATCATGAGATACGCTCACTTCAAAGGAAACAACAGCATTCTCCAGAGCAGTCACATCCTTTGGTTTTTTGATGATTTTAACAGCTAAAGGAAGAAATTAGCAAAGATTTAATCTTCATGCTTGACTTTAATTTCAACCAAGATATTGGCATTAGAAAAGAAACAAGTAATAGGTGGCTTTTCAGAGTTGAAAATGGGGTGGTTGGAAGAGGCACATATGTCATTACAGTTATTTCACGTTCTGAGAATCTACAGGGTATAATGAGAGAGTGTGAATGAATATGCATACTATGAGAAATTATGCCTCTTGTCCTTTGACTATTAATGTCATCAAACTTTCTCTTTGACTTACTTTCAACATGGAGTCTAGCATTTGCTCCTATTCTTCCCAGTTTAAAACTATAAACTGATTCGTCGGTTACAGTACAGTTCTTGACTTTCAGTGTGTAGGTAGTTCCCTCCACCTTGATATCATATTTGTCACTAGAATGTAGCTCAACACCATTTTTAATCCACTGAACTCCTTTCACATCTGGATGAGTAAGTTCTACTGAAAATACTGCATCTTGTGTTTCTGTCACAGTCAGGTTCTTTAGTGTCTTTTTGATCTTGACAGCTATTTAAAAAGAAGAAATACAGAAACATAAAATGAATATTTAGGCTGCCTAATGTAAGTCTAATATTGTACACAAACTTTATAATAAAATGTGAAAAATAAGTGAGAGCCAGTGGTTTTCAGGACAGAAATGTCAGTTGTATGAACAACCATCAACTATTTAGTTTCAGAGTCATGAAGTACAAAAAAATCCTGCCCTTGAAATGTGAGAAAGACTTGAAGAAGACACAATGGGTTTAAATTACCGTGGGCATAAGAGGGGAACTGCACACTCCCACTGACAAGGGGCAATCAACTGCTTCATATGGCTTCATTCTAGTTTATAATAAAGATTCTTATCTAACCATGCTTTGCCAAATGTCTGAGAGAGTTCATCCAAAACCAAGCCTAGCAGTCTAGTTAAGCTGTGCATGGTTGGGGGACTAAGATTTACAGCTAAATCCTGGTCCAGGGATCCTGAGATATGAGGTAGAAAGGGATTAGCAACAGATGTCTCCCTCTTGCTCATAGAAGTTCTTCTGCTCCATTTCGGGTGATCAGCTCCTTCTTTCTCATTCCTTCCTTGACACAGAGGAAGGTGCCTATTCCATTCAGGGGGGTCCTCTGACCTTCAGAAGGGACTTTGGGGTGGGCCCTAGGGAGATTGGAATGGGGCGGTCATCTTTTACTACCTCCACCCAACCCCCACTCAACACTTCTTAAAATCCATATTGTATTCTGTTCCTCTTCCTTTCCTTTCTATGCAGGGAGTGAAACTTGTATCTCACGCTTCTTTGTCTAATATTGTCTACTTCACAATGGAACATTTGAAAAATCCCATTCCACTTAGGAACTAAAGATGGAACTAACTATGTTAGATTCTGACATTAAAAATATAGTATATACCTATACATATCTACTCAAAAATAAATTCCACTGTGCTGAGAGATATGTGTATTTAGAATAATAGTCGCAAATTCCAGAAAAAAATCAAGAAGTAAGATAACGTGTTCCTAGATCAAAAAATTATATTTTTTTGAAATAAAGAGGATAGGTTTGGTTGCCCTTCTTATTGCTGACATTTGCCCTTAACACCAATGAAGCAGGTTTCATCTGGTAACGTTCTTATGTTAAATTGATATTTCATTTTCTATTTACCTGATTTTCTTACATTACTTAAGTGAAGCATTCTCAAAGGGCCATTTTAGTCCATTTTAAATCAGATCATTTTGAACTGAGATGAGTTTTCCTTGATTACTTACTTTCAACTTTCAGCTTAGCTGATGTTTTTGAAGATGCCACTTGGAAGGTATATTCCCCAACATCATCCAATTTGCTGATTGGGATATTAAGTCTCCGCTTCAAACCATCAGATTCACTTTTGCAACGATCTGTCATAGCAAGTGGTTTTCCATCTTTCAGCCATTGGCCTACAGATTCAGGATTGGCTACTTCACATTCAAAAACAGCTTTCTGGGACTCAGCTACCGTGAGATCAGTGAGGGGCTTTGAAATGGCGCCACCTGTGAGGGAAGGGGGAAAAGAAAATGTTTATCTGCTGTATAGGTCTCCTATTATATAAAATGTCTTTTGGCTCCACTCAGAGTTCATTTTCATGAGGTAACTCCTGTCTATAAAAGCAGTAACCTTCTGCTACTATACTTGGGGCTATAATAGCTGTACTATTTGGTCTAGCTGCCATCTCAGACGACTGATATGAAATGGCAAAAAAGGTTAATTTTGGGTTTTATTGCTTGGGTGGATTTTTCTATCTAGGTGCTAAAATTACTTGGGTGACCTTAGATACTGTGTAGAGCTGTGTATCTTTGCTGCTTCCACTTCAGCCACAGAATACATAGGGCTGGCTCTGTTCATAAATAGAAATGGCCTTCTAAGATGTGCTCCAGAGCTCTGCAAGCGCTAGTTTTTAATACATACTCTGTAACTGACCTGTGGAAGGGTGGTCATAAAAAGGAAAATGAAGTGTAAATGGAACTGCACTACACTTGGCTGGATTTGTACCAGAGGTGCACAATCAGCAGCTTCTAAAAGCCTCAGATACTGTCCATAAAGACTTCCGAAAAATTCTTCAGGACTTGCAATGTTTAATGTGTGAACCGGAGGAAATTATTAAATGGATGGCTGGTGAGTAATCCTATTAATTGTATTTCATTTACTTAAAAGTAATTCTAACCAAGAAGGGACCATGTTTGGTTTTGATCTTCATTTTGGAATGTAGCCCAGGCACAACACTCAAAAGTAGGGTGCAACCCTCACCCCACAAAAGTTATGCATCCCTGGTTATGATGGCCAGGTAATGGTTTCCTTCCCAATGTCTCCATGGGGCATGATAGAACATGAAAACTAAATAAAGAGGGAAGTGATACATTCAAAAATCAAAAATCAAAAGTAACATTAAAAACTATCATCCTATATTATCTACTTGCAATTGCCCAAAGAGTACTTGGCTCTTTCAGTGAGTTTTGAAGATTCTGGAAAATAACTTCCATTAGGAATGTTAGGGAATATCCTGATGTTGCTTTCCTCCAATTTCTCCCCTAAGTTCACTCTGAATTTTTGTAGGTTTCAACGTGCAACCATGGAATGAATTGCAAGTGCACTGACAAATGATTGGGCATTTAACTTTAAAGATAGAATCAACTTCACCAATACATTCCATACAACTAACCTGCTACAACAAGTCTCCCAGAGGTCTTCTTTTCTCCAGCATAAAATGTGTACTCTCCTTCATCATCTTTCATCATGTTGACTACTGTCAGTTTATATATTGTGCCATGGGCCCCTATCTTGTACTTGGGGCTGGCTTTGAGTTCTTGGCCCTTAAAATGCCATAGCACATCAACCCCAGCATGGGACAGCTCAACTTCAAAGGTGACATTCTGGGTTTCAGTACAGGTGATATCATGAAGACCTTTAATAATCTTAATTTCTGTTTAAAATAAATAAATAAGAGTGTTAACAGTATTGAATTCCTATCATCACATCGTTGCATGAGTAGAATGGCTGCATGTTTGAAGAATACATACTTTCAATTATGAGATTACAGCTGGTTTCAACTTTGCCAACAGCTAGTTTACACTGCCCTTCATCTGAGGCATATGTCCTGGTAATGACGAGTCGCTGTTTCATGCCCTTGGAGACTGCTTGTATACGATCATCAGGCTTTATCTGTTCATCATTTATGTACCATTTGGAGGAAGATACATCAGGGACTGAAATTTTGCTCTCAAGGGTGGCTTTTGTGCCTTCAACAACATGGACATCTTTCAGAGGAACAATTATCTCTACACCTGCAAATAGCATAAAAGAGCCATCATAAAGACGTTACATTTCAAGCATTACATTTTTAGGATTCTTCCTCAGGATCATGGTAATAAGCTTTATTCTTGCCTTTTAGTTGAGAGGAAAGTATATTGATATAAACTGCCCCCACAGCCTATCTTTACTATGCCTCCGCAACAGAGCTGGGAGATCTATAGTTTCATGAAACAAATGCAAGGATGCTGTCTTCTAGAGGTAATTTGTGCACTGTAATCCAGGCAACTTCCAGATGGTATCATCTATAAAAGGGGGAAACAGAAGACTGATATACCTATGCCACCCCCCAGCTCTACCCCTACAAAATTCTGTCTGAGGGAACTGGAACAGCTGATTGCTCTCAGTGATATTGTACTTCTGGATCTCGATAATGAAGCTCAAGCTCAGATACTTTGGTCACCTAATGCGAAGAGAGATCTCTTTGGAGAAGACCCTGATGCTGGGAAAGATTGAAGGCAAAAGGAGAAGAGGGGGCAGAGGATGAGATGGTTAGATAGCATCACTGAAGCAATGAGCATGAAACTGAGCAAACTCAGGGAGGCAGTGAAGGACA